ATTAATTCTTATGCCTCGGCCGCAAGCGACCTCGGCTTGGTCACAAAATACTCTAAATTTCACCGAGGCACAATAAAACAATCTCTAATTTTATATCAATATGGCATTAATTCTTATGCCTCGGCCGCAAGCGACCTCGGCTTGGCCATAAAATACTCTAAGTTTTACCGAGGCACAATAAAACAATCTCTAATTTTATACCAATATGGTATTAATTCTTATGCCTCGGCCGCAAGCGACCTCGGCTTGGTCACAAAATACTCTAAATTTCACCGAGGCACAATAAAACACTCTCTAATTGTACATCAATATGGTATTAATTCTTATGCCTCGGTCGCAAGCGACCTCGGCTTGGTCACAAAATACTCTAAATGTCACCGAGGCATAATAAAAGAATCTCCAATTTTATATCAATATGAAATTAATTGAAATGCCTCGGCCGCAAGCGACCTCGGCTTAATCAGTTTATATAACAAATTCCATGCTCTAAGTTTATCTGAGGCACACGAAAATAATTATGTCGTATTCATTGTAAGCGCGTATGTCACAACAAAACGATTCAGAAGATCTTTTTTACTACTACTATTAGTTATTTAATGTATTAACATTGCTTCTACATCAAGCGATTTAATACTTATCCACGTCGGATGAAATCCAGTTTGCATGTTTAGACGAAATCGCGAGGCTGCGTCGCCATGTGCAGGTTTTCATTTAAAACCACGTGAGACGCAACGCACTGAAGCGAGCAACTCCATTCGTAGACGGCCTTAGAATGCAATGGAAAAATACCGAAAACGCTGCGAAGATGCACGCGAGCTACTAAACATATATACAAAGCGATATACTGACGTATCTTAATTTTGGGGTGTGAAACGTGGGTGCTAACAAAAATAGAAAAAAGTAGAAATGAAATACCTGACAAGAGTAAAGAGGGTCACGAGGAGAGATAAAATTAGGAATGACGACAGAAAGAGTTAAATATCTTTGAAGGATTTTATAAAAAAGAGGTGACTCAAATAGTGGAGACATCTACTATATACACCCAGTGATGGGCGCTGGGTAAATACCCGGCGGGTAATTATTTCTAAAATGGGTATTTATCCGGGTATTTACCCCGGCCCAGGGTAAATACCGAAACAGTGCGTATAAAAATGATACCGGTAAAAATATATCAGATTCCAAACAAAAATGAAGAGGAAGATGATGAAATGGACGTTGAAGACGAGGAATTGTCAACAATCAAAAACGTATTATTATCAGACGAATCTGTCGTAATTTAGACTAGATCAAGTTATTATAATAATTATTATCATCAAGCAGCCCTCTGCGTCCATTGTTGGACATAGACATAGACGATTCTATTCTGTGCTATCTGAATCCAATTGTTGGTCATTCTTTTGACGTCTACTTCGTCTGTTCGCTCGCTCTCCACTCAAGCAACCGTTTTGTCCACTACTCATTCTTCATTCGCGCGACATGACCCGCCCAGTTCCACTTAAGCTTTGCCACAATGTTGACCACATCATTTACGCCAGTACTTCTTCATAGGTCTTCATTTCGTATGTAGTCCCTCAGAGTTACACTCACGATCGGTAGTGGCTACCGTTAATGTTAATGTGTCGGAGCCGTATATCACCGGAAACACGCATTGATTGAAAGCCTTTCTTGGCCTTTTCTCTTGAATATGTCTCTAAGTTTCCCGTAGGCTGCCCATACGAGTGTAATTCTTCTGTTTAGTTTCGCTTGTTTGATTATCTCTCGTTACACGAACCTCATAGTCAAGATATACAGAGCTGTCAATCCTCTCCATCTCATTATCCCCAATGTTGATGTTAGAGCTGGGAACAAGATTTGTCATAAATTTTGATTTCTCCTCGTTGATATTATTATTAGACACCCGACTCTTGCACACACCTCTTTTAAGTCGTTCAGCATTAATTTAATGTCTCCAAGGCTATCCAAAATCGCGTAGCGCAAATTACTTAAGCATTTGCCATCAATGTTCATGTCTTTTTGGGTCCAATCCAGTTGTGTAAATGCACTCTCCACGACTGTGATGAACAATTTGGGTTCAACAGTGTATCGCCTTCTTTTACTCACAATCAGTACTTTACTACTTCTAATCTCATCAGTACTTTCATGCAATTTTACCATCATTGTAGCATTCTTGTAGATGTTATAAATAAGTTTGGTATATCGATAATCGACACTGCATTCTTGAAGTGCTTGCAAAACTGCCATCAACTCAATTTAAATCAGATTTTATAAATACCTCTAAACACCCATCTTGGGTAAATACCCCCGGGTATATATACAGGAAATTTACCCTTGAAAATAAATACCCGGGTATTTAACAACACTGTATACACCATTTTTATTACATTTAACTCCTTTTGATTAATCTTGACTTTTGCCTCTGATGATGATATTAACCGAAACTAGTTAGATAATAAAAACTTAATAATAAAGACTAATTAACGTACAAAAACGTTTTTTTTTGCAAATTCATGCAACATCTTCATAGATCATTAAAACCTATTTAAGGTTCCAGGTAAAATGGGAAGTCTCAAAATTTAAGTATATCACTGAAGGACTCAATATTATATCAATCCTTATTTCCCTTGATTTCCAAATCATATTTTTGCCATTGCTTGATTGCATCTCCATTACAAGAAGATCTCCATTACATATTGCTTAATAGATCTTGGATATTATAATCTCATTAGACTTTATAAGACGTTTTAAGTATCGTCTTTCATCCATTCTTTACCATTTTGCAGATATCGCTCTAAGATGGACATCAGAAATATAATAATTATTGATAAATGCCGTAAAGTTTTAAAGAATCAAGAATCCATAAAGATTATTAGCTGCATTCTTTCTCTAGAAATCACACGTCGTAAATTAATCAAATATTAAAGTGATAAAATATACACTAAGCATTAATAAACACAATTTGTAACAAATCACAATTATTTATAAAAAAATTTTTTTCCTACTTCCTGCAAGAATTGAATTAATCTCGTCTAACCTGGCAGATGTTGTCTTTTCATTCCACTCTTCCAATATTTTACAGGGTTCTGTTTATATCCATAATATCCATATCCAACATGCCCATTTCTTGACGCTTTAACACTTTTAACACTTTTTTTTAACACAAATAAAACTTTTTAATTTCTCAATTAATTAATGACAATGACATTTAACGAAACTTCAAACAAAATAACCCCAAAATAACCAAAACACCCCTAGTGATTTTTTGTTTAACCAACTTAATGTCATTTTGACATTAGAAATTTATATGAGACGCAATATAACCTCAAAATAAATTTAAAATAAAAAAAGTCATAAAATATACACTAAGGATTAATAAACACAATTAGTAACAAATCACAATTATTTATAAAAAAAATTTTTCCTACTTCCTGCAAGAATTGAATTAATCTCGCCTAACCTGACAGATGTTGTCTTTTCATTCCACTCTTCCAATATTTTACAGGGTTCTGTTTATATCCATAATATCCATATCCAACATGCCCATTTCTTGACGCTTTAACACTTTTAACACTTTTTTTTAACACAAATAAAACTTTTTAATTTCTCAATTAATTAATGACAATGACATTTAACGAAACTTCAAACAAAATAACCCCAAAATAACCAAAACACCCCTAGTGATTTTTTGTTTAACCAACTTAATGTCATTTTGACATTAGAAATTTATGTGACGCAATATAACCTCAAAATAAATTTAAAATCGACAATTTAAAATAAAAAAAGCCATAAAATATATAATACAGTAAGGATTAATAAATACAGTTTGTAACAAATTACAATTATTTATAAAAAAAAATTTTTCCTACTTCCCGCAAGAATTGAATTAATCTCGTCTAACCTTACAATTGTTGTCTTTTCATTCCACTCTTCCAATATTTTACAGGGTTCTGTTTATACCCATAATATCCATATCCAACACACCCATTTCTTGACGCTTTAACACTTTTTTTTAACACAAATAAAACTTTTTAATCTCTCAATTAATTAATGACAATGACATTTAACGAAACTTCAAACAAAATAACCCCAAAATAACCAAAACACCCCTAGTGATTTTTTGTTTAACCAACTTAATGTCATTTTGACATTAGAAATTTATGTGACGCAATATAACCTCAAAATAAATTTAAAATCGACAATTTAAAATAAAAAAAGCCATAAAATATACACTAAGGATTAATAAACACAGTTTGTAACAAATTACAATTATTTATAAAAAAAATTTTTTCCTACTTCCCGCAAGAATTGAATTAATCTCGTCTAACCTGACAGATGTTGTCTTTTGATTCCACTCTTCCAATATTTTACATGGTTCTGTTTATATCCATAATATCCATATCCAACATGCCCATTTCTTGACGCTTTAACACTTTTTTTTAACACAAATAAAACTTTTTAATCTCTCAATTAATTAATGACAATGACATTTAACGAAACTTCAAACAAAATAACCCCAAAATAACCAAAACACCCCTAGTGATTTTTTGTTTAACCAACTTAATGTCATTTTGACGTTAGAAATTTATATGTGACGCAATATAATTTCAAAATAAATTTAAAATCGATAAAAAAATAATTTTGCAATAAAATAATAAGAGGTTTTTGTTAAAAACTTACCACATTTTCCTTGGACATCAATTGAATTATTAGGAGAACCTGAAAATAAATAAATTTTTATTAACAAACTTATAAACGTCAAAATGACATTTTAACCTCAACATTTTTCAACTTTTAATGATTTTAAACGAAAAAAGAGAGTTATTAGAATCTTGAATGGTTACATTGAATGTGATTACACGAAAGGATTAAAATAATAACATTATTTACTACTTTTTTTAAGAAAATAAAACTTTTTAATCTCTCAATTAATAAGTGACAATGACATTTAACGAAACTTCAAATAAAATAACTAAAACCACCCTAGTGATTTTTTTTTTAACCAACTTAATGGCATTATTAGAAATTCATATGTGACACATAATAACCTCAAAATAAATTTAAAATCTACAAAAAAATAATTTTGCAACAAAATAATAAGACGTTTTTTGTCAAAAACTTACCGCATTTTCGTTGGGATCAATCGAATTATTAGGAGAACCTGAAAATAAATAAATTTTTATTAACAAACTTATAAACGTCAAAGTGACATTTTAACCTCAAAACTTTTAATCGTTTTAAATGAGAAAAGAGAATTATTAGAGTCTGAATGTTTTATGTCTCGATGCGAATCGAAAAAATAAACCGGTTTTAAACGCATTATACTTACAATTTAATAAAAAACGATTTAGAATTAAAATAGTGTGTAACCTTTAGGTTAGTTTCTTTTATTTATCTCGTTCTTGTCACTTATTGCAAATAGAGTGGGGATTACGAGTTTCACGCTTCACTAAAATCGTTTTGAGAGTTTCTCCGAGCCGCTTTTCTAGGTATAACAAACCGGGTTCTTCAAGTTCTTGAAATGAATCCGATAATAAAGGATTTCCTCCTTTTATTTTTGCTTTATAATTAATTGTTAATCAATCTTTGTAGGATTTAAGCGCGTAATCACATCAATTTTATGTTTATTAACAACAAAAATCTTAATTTTTGACAATGACAACGACGATGTGTCAATTAATTAGACTTAAAAAAAAGTGTTACCAACATAAATAACTAAAATAACTATAATAATTTTTTTTTAACAATTTAATGTATTTTTTGGTATAAATTTAATTAAAAAAAATGAAATAAACAATTTCGAGGTGAGTTTTGATTTTATTATTGCGATTTATAAAGAAAAATTTTGATCTAATTGGTTGGAATAGAAATCCTAGGGGAATTTCGAAACGATTGTTGGTGTTGACGAACATACGATTGTCACGTATGTTTATAAACGAAATTAAGAGGTTAACAAGGTACAAAACATTACATTATTGAGTCTTATTTACCGATAAAAATAGGTAGTGAGTTGAATTAAAGTGTCTAAGGAACCCAAATTGGATGCAAGAAAGCCCGAAACATCGCATTAAGGTAAAACCAAACATTATTTTAATAAAAGTAATCTAATTAATTGAAATGCATTTCTTCAAAAATTATTAATAATAAAATTGTTTGACATTAACGAAAAGTGACAGATGACTTTGATAGGTAAATGTCAAAAAAAATCATTTTTTTTATGACATTAATTGAGATGAAAATGATTAATCTTTAATTGAATTTGATGAAAAGTTTAGGTGGAAATGAAATCTTGCGAAATGTTTATCGCAAAGAAACCGGACCTTGCCGGTTCAAAGTCTCGCCATTGTTAAAATTGAAAAAAGTGATTACGCGCAATCAAATTTATGCACGTAAACTCGTAATCTAATAACAGAAATCGAAAGAGCGAAAAAAACAAGTCTATAAATAACCGTTAGTTAACGTGATACGGTTTTTTTTAACAAAATCTAATTAAAAAAATCGAAAAACAAAGCTAAAGAATGTTTCTTTTGTAAATTGAGTGGAATAAAAGACACAAAGAAAAGAATAATTTGCCTTTATGGGTATGAGTCAAAAAGGATCCTTTAAAAGAATACAGTGTGGAACAATCAATACAATGGGAGAACAAATTTATTATTGTTAACTGCGTAAAATGTCAAAAAAATCTATTAATGTCGTTTTGCCTCGGCCGTAAGCGATCTCAGCACCTTTTTAACATTTAATATTTATGTATTATAACAAAATTGTATTTATTTATCTCAATTTATTTGTGAAATTTATCTGCCTCGGCACCTTATATACAAACTTTTTGACATTTAATATTTATGTATTATAACAAAATTGGATGTTTTTGTATCAATTTATCTTTGAAATGCCTCTGCCTCGGCCGCAAGCGACCTCGGCTCGGTACATAAAATCGTTAAGATGAAGATGTAGACATGTTTTTATTAGAAATTTACTTGTCAAATGTAATTGACATGTAAAAATTGTGAGGTTATGAGCACAATGTACCGAAATAGTGAAAATTCGCTATAAAAATGGTGAGAAATTCGCAGAGATAGTTCGTAAAGTTCGTACTGCTTTTGGTCATAATCAAGCTCCTTCTCGCCCTGCTATAATAAAGTTGGTCCATAAATTTGATAGTCTCAGACAAGGTCATTCTTTTTTTGTCTAAAAATTGATGCTATGGACGTGAACGACATTTACTTTTAGCTGTTCATAAAACAGATTGTATTTTCAAAAAAAATACAAAAATAAGGATTTTAACCTCTGGCAAATACCGTATTCATTCGAATTTAAGGTTGCTATATAAGTTTTATATAAAGTTTTGCTATAATATAATCGTTCATAGAAATGGGGTGCGTCTTAGATTCGAACGAATTTTATATCTCATTGTGTTAACTTACTGTTCGAATTATGTTGGTACTACCTAATCGCTTGGCTGAATCTCTAGTAGAGTTTGCCATATAGGTCCTAAACCAAGAAAATTTTCCCATATCGATAATGTTGGAATTGATTTTGTCAAAGAAAAACGTGTAAAAGGACTACCAGTAACAAGGCAAATGATGCAATTAAAGATCTTAGAAATTGAATACTGTAAATAAGTAGACATTCGACAAAAATCCGGAATTCGAATATATGCTAATTTTTTCTGCTAATGTATAGAAAAGTGTCCCTTTCATTATAAAATGGCCTTAAAACAACCTTAAAAAAGCTATAATCTGCTTTGAAGTTACTTGATTAAGACTGTTATAAATCACTTAATATTAGCAACGTAATTACGATAGAGTTTTTACAGAAATATTTCTGTTTGTAANAAATCGTATTTATCTAAAAATTTATTAGTATTTTAACCTCAACTAATTAGTTACTGACAATGTTACTAAAAATCATGAAAACAACATAAATTTTATAAGGGTCCTAGATAATACCAACAGAAACCCTAAATAATTTACATTGACAAGTATTATAGAAAAAAAACGAACTATACATGTTATGTGGTGTCAATATACAGGGTGTTTCGGTGACTCGGGGAACAAATTTAACCACAGATACAAGAGTGAAAATGATGACGATTCATGCAAAAAAAAAATTAGTAAAAGTCTTCAAATTTCAAAGATACAGGCCATCAAAGTTAGGAAATTTTAACACATTTTTCCAAATATCTTCAACACTATTTACAATAAAGCGCTGAAATTTGGTACAGTATAAATTAATGTGATGTAAAATCGTTAGGCAATGGAACAATACTATACAGGTGTTCCTAAAGTTTGTTTACTCAGAACTTTTTTATTCTATCATAACCCCACATTTATTTTTGTACTTTCTAATATTAAATTTAGTTTAGAAACTTTTATTATTCTTAGATAATATTGATAAAAATCACTGTTTTCGAGTTAAATGCAAAAATGTAGAGTTCCAATTTCAATAATAGCACTAAAAAGAAAGAAATCTAAATTTTTGAATATTTTTTTTAGTATTTTTTATTATTTGTCTTCTTATTTTATGTACTTTTTTTTATTATTCCGTTTTTTTTTGTTGATTTTGAATTAATTGTTTTTGGATTCATTTATTAAACCAATTAAAACAAATTAAAAATGTGAT